TACTAACAAAGGTTAGAGGATCCTGACTTTGGACAGGCGCAAAAATGCGGCGGGGTTAAACATGTTTTGTGAGATCTCAAACCTCCCCCTATACCTCTAGCCATTGTAGAATAAGCAAACACACAGAAAAACGCATAGTAAAAATCAATTCAAAAGAAGACCGAGTCTGATGTTAGAATAGGTAACAGAAGCAACATGACAATGATAAGCATAAATTAACAAAGACCTATAAGGAGTTACTGACAAGCCAGCTCCAGACTTCATTTAAACTGATAAAGATATTATGTCTTCATTGTATGAGCTTCATACATTTTATAGGTATATATGATTGTTGTTGTTCATTATCTTAAGGTAATATCTTAAAATCAAGATATTAAAAACGTAATTTCCTAGAAATTTATTTTCATTCAATTTTTTTTAACCAAATTAGATATTTTATTACGTCTAGGAAATTCTCAGTGGTTTTTAATCTCAGATATCTCTAGTAAACTCTGCAAGGCATAAAAATATTAAAAATATATTAAATTACAAGTTCTATGTATGTTTCATTAATTAAGCATAATAAAACACCTACATATACAGCAAAATATATTAAAACTGTCGTTCAAAAATTTAAAAATCCGTCAGCTGTTTTTATGAATCTTTCAACATTGCTTTTTTTAAAGACTTTGATTTTACTAACCTCCGCATGGTTTCGCCATTGTTTGCATTGAACATTCTATTTCGTGAAGGTAAAAAATGTTTACTGGTTCCTGCGTCTATATTTTTTTAATATTCTCTACTAAAAGAAACTAATTTCAATCTAAAAACATACAATAATAATCAAGGCACTAAAAATTGTATCTTTATTCGTTTCAAAGTTAATTAAAGTATTATAAAGTATAGTAATTATTAATATATTCCATTTAACAGTTGTTTTATTTATTTCTATGATCGTATGTGATTGTATTTTGTACATAAGTACCTCTTGTTTCACATGCGAATATGACAGAGTGTTTTTTAAATAAAGCATATTGTATTGTATTGTATAGTTTATTGCTTTGTCACAAATCAGGTCGTTGGTTTTTTCGTTTAAATTGTTTCACATTTTGTTATGTCGGGGTCTTTTATAGGTGACTATATCGTATGGGTTTTGCTCATTGTTGAAGGCTGTAAGGTGATCTATAACCTCTATAGTTGCTTAATTCTGCTTAATTTGGACTCTTTTGGACAATTGCCTCATTAATTGGCAATCATATCACATATCCTTATTTTATGTACAAAAATCTTGATTGAACACACGTGCAAAGAGATAACGATAAACAGAGGGTAGTAAACTATCAGTTTTGATACATACGTTCACCATTAATTAAGCAGCGGTGTACCTACCTCCTATATTTAGCAAAAATTAATAAAACGTATCAAGAAAAGTCCCCTAAAAAAACAAAAACAAAAACAAAAACAAAAACAAAAACAAAAACAAAACAAAAAGAAAAACAAGTAAAAAAGAAAAAAAAAACATAAACACATAAACACATAAACAGACGAGAGAGAGAGAGAGAGAGAGAGAGAGAGAGAGAAATCCGTTAGTGTGCAATATTTTAATATTAATGGTCTTTCCTAACGAAGTGTTTCCCACACAAAAACAAGTTTAACATCGAAAGACCAAAAGGCCATGTTGAAATTATTTCCTTGTTTTGGAACCAACCCAATTCGTTTCTTGGTTAAATCAGTGATATCGTTCGTGATTTGTTTTAAGAAAACTTTCACAGGAATGTTTTTGTTTTTGTTTTACCTCGTTATTAAATCTCTGCATATGACTCAAAAGTATATGCAAGCTGTTTTTTGCCTCCAACAAAGAATTCAAGTCCCTTTAACGATGTTACTACTACGGGGGTGTTTAACGACCTTTACTATTCATCATGGAGGTTCGCGCACGGTCGGTTAACGATGTTTGTCCTTAATCTGTTTTAACTAATTATTATACACTTGAGAAAATAAAACTTGTAGTACATGTTAAGTTCTAAACGTGTATAGGATTGTGTTTAATATCTATAAACACATTTCTCAGTAAGCACATAGAATGTTAACATGTCTTGAATTTAAACACTTTCAAATGTGTTATAGAATTAAAGTGTTTAGGAATAAAGCACTAATTTCTAAGCGTATTAACACATTCAATCCTAAACACAATCCTAGAAAGCCGCATTGTCAATCTATTAATGTTTGGAACTGAGACATGTTTATAGACCAAAACGTGTAAAAAAGGGTTCAAAGACGATGTGTTTAGGATCTAAACACAATTTTGACAGTGTATGTTTTAGATCTGTACATCTGTACGTCAGTTAATGGTTGGTACCAGGGAATATTCGTAAATATACAGTTCTTTGCTGGCACTAACACTACAAACCAGTAAAAGTCTGAAATGGCCTATATCTGTACTCGACTGAACTGATTTTTACTCGACCAGTCTGAATTGGTCTGAATTTTACTCGACATTACTCGACCCCAGTCTTAACCATACTCGACCATACTGATTTGTACTTGACCCTTATCTTTGCCATTGAAAATAGTCTGAACTATTACTCGACCAGTCTGAAACAGTCTTAACCCATTCTCGACCTGAACTCGACCATTTTTTTCAGTCTAAACCATACTCGACCAAAGGTCTGAACAAAACTCGACCAGTCTGAACCATACTTGACCAAAAAACCTATACTTTTTTTTAATTTCAGCTGTTAAAATTAATTTCTTTTTTTCTGACATGACAACAGCCACAATAAAATAATGATATATATATAAAAACATATTTTTACATCCTTAGTACATGATTCTCAGATTTATCAAATGGAGATAGTTAAATTAAATTATCTTATATAATAATTTAATTATATTAATTTTAAAGTTTTAGAGTTTTGTTAAAAAAAGATTTTCTTTTAACTAAAAACCACACCTTTACTGAGGGTAATAAAACCTTATTAAGGTGCTTCTTGTTTGGCATGTGTTTTTTTTTTTTTTTTTTAAACTTAATTTTCCTAAATTCCTAAAGAAAAACTATATAGGTTTCATGGTTACATACAATAGTTAAATAATTATCTTTTTAATGAGGTAACAACAGCCAAAAAATCACTGAAATTGTTTAACCTTATATTAGAAATATATCTAGTCTTATTATAATTTGGGATATATTATATATAATATATATCAAAAAGGGATAAAAAAATTAAAGAAATAGATAAAATTTTTCTTCTGATTAGTGGTAAAGTATAAAGTAATACCTCCTGCTTGGGGCAAATTCATTAAAAAGATCACACCTGGTCAGAGAGTATAAATTTCTTATTAACATTCATTAAAAATTGCAACATCCTGTAAAACTTAAATCGCAAGGCCTTTTGAATTCACTAGATAAGTAATACACGAGTTTAAGAAAAAAAGGGCTTTCTTTTTACCTGTAAAACACACATGTACTGAGGTAAATAAACCTTATTAAAGTGCTTCTTGTATGCCATGTCTTTAATTTTGACAAAAGTTATTTAAATTTAATTGAAATAAATTTTTTCTGCAACTTTGGAACACATTTCCTTTTTTAAATGGTTATCAAGGATTGCTATGGAAGTTCATTATCATGATTATATTAAATTCTTGGTTTTACAAAACAAAGGTGTGATTTTTAAAATTTATTAAGTTGCTTTATACATGTTATATACTATTTTAAATATATTTTAATAAAAAAAATGTTCACTGCATTATTAACTAAACTCAACTGACACCATAAATCTATACAAGGCTTAAGTAAATGGTGAAAATTGTCCAGTAACCATAAAACATATCTGAAACATTCAAAAAAATTTGAATAACATTGAAAATATTAGGACAATTCAGTTTTAAGATTATTTGATCATTGTTGATCAGCTTGTTTTATTTTATTTTAAAGGTGATATATATATATGTAAGTGTTGATAAATATGGTGTTGAAATTATATTATGTTTATCGTGAAATTTTGGTTTCAATGCCGTATTGAATACATTTTAAATTTCAAATTGTTGTTCAAATTTCTAGCCAGGGGAAATAGCTGTTAAAAACAATTCCTAAATTGATGAAATACAATAGATAGATACAAAAATTAGGTCTAGGTTGGTTAAGACTTAGTCGAGTATGGTTCAGACTAGGTCGAGTATGGTCCAGACTAGGTCGAGTATGGTTCAGACTAGGTCGAGCATGGTTCAGACTAGGTTGAGCATGGTTGAGACAAAAATAAAATGGTTAAGTACAGGTCGAGTACAAGTTCAGACTGTTAAGTATGGTTCAGACTACAGTCGAGTATAATCAAGTAAATTTCAGACCAATTCAGACTGGTCGAGTAAAAATCAGTACAGTCGAGTACAAATATAGGCCATTTCAGACTTTTACTGGTTTGTAGTGTAAGTTAAGTGTTAAATACTTTTTACAAAATCATGTACTTTTGTAACATTTACATGTTTATGAAGTGTTAGTAATAAAAACAAAACCAATATTGTAAGCATATAACCTAATTGTTCAAACAGTACATTTAAAATATAAAAAAAAACACTAAAAAAAAATTAAGCTGAAAACTGAGATTCTCATCCTGAGCACCTACCACACAATAACTTAAATCAACTACATGCTTAAAGAATAAGTAGAAAAAAAACATTGAAAAACACATTCTACAAATCATAGGCCGAGTTTTTTTCTCTTTATTTGTTTACATAAATTATGGTAGGCCGAGTTTGTTATAATCCGAGTTTGCTATAGGCCGAGTTTGTTTATTATCCCGGCAGCAGTGCTTACGAGCATAGCACTGTTATTAAAGTGTATGGATTAAAAATAGAAAATTGAATATTCATTGTGAACAATAAATAAATATGAAAATCCTATACCCGAGCGACTGTGATATTTATTGTTGGATTTGACTTCTATGTGATGGTGTGTCTAGATTGTTAGAAGAAGATAACAGATAACATATAAATGTGGAACGTGAACTTATCGTTTCCATCCCCTCCTCGCGGTATACCTTTTTTGAGTTGCAGAAATGGGTGATGATTTGTTGTTTGTACCTGAATCAAGTTTGCAGCAGCCTACAACGTCCAAAAGACAAAAACTGACATCCACGGTTTCTTTTGACAATTTAGTGTCACACTGGGGCCTAAATAATTTAGAGATATTAGGTCTTTTCTATGCAGAGAAGCCTGTTGACATTAACACACTTCTTGATAAATCGTTGTCGTACAATTCACAAATATTGCATTTGTCACCAAGATTGAAGACATTTATAACAATTCTAGAACGATTTCTCAATTTTGATGTCAGTTTACCAGATGATTATTCCGAAGGTGAACAAAGGGAAGATAGACGAGCACGATGGACAAATGAAATGGAAGCATTAGCCAGGTGTAAAATAGAGGCAGATAAAGTGTATAAATATGAAGAAGTTATTGATAATGAAACGCAAATTGATAATGATTTATTATGGTAAACATTGTAATTTAAAATTTATGCAATGGTCATTAAACATGTTTAAAAAACTGACATAAGGCTGGTCAGAAGAACCAGATGAAACAAATATTTTTTGCTCTATCTAAAATTTACCAGCTGCTCTAAATGCAAATATTTATACATCTCACACAACCTAACGGATGCCCCACTCTTACAAGAGTTTTACTGCCGGTTTGACTAAGACCAAGAGTGACAGTATTTTGATTCTGCAGTCACCCTGGGGGTGCATGAACATTATATTAGAATTGATTATGTTGATCATTTAAAATAATTAATATTTAAATGATATAAGTACTTTTCACAAGTTATGGATATAAAAATATGGATTAACGAGATGTGGTAAGATTGCCAATAATCCCTATTTTTATATCCACTAAAGATTAAATGACAAAGATGTAAATTTAAACCATGTAAACAATTCCAGGTCACAATTTAGTTTTTTTGAAAGACGTAAAATTGTAATGACTAACAGTCAGAGCTCAGACATTAGTAAGTCTTATTTTTCCTTTGAACCAGAGGTCAAATTTTTAATTGTGATGGGTTGTCACCCTTTATTTTTAAACAAAATATATGACCTTTAATAAACAAGCATGACATTGAAGTCAATTAGTATTAAGCAAACAATTTTTGATCTGAATCAAAATGTTGCCAATATTGACTTATTCAAGTTAATAAATTACAAAAATGGCTAGCTTCAAGATCTTTTTTATCCGCGTTTAACGTTAATGGTAAATTTTGGTGCATGACGATAAAATGTAAACGTTCAACTTTCAAATTATTTCGGACTATAAGAAACCACAATCAATCAACAGATCAATGGATGTGAGTTCAATGTTGGATTATTCGAACAAGCTTGAAGGTCTCTAGTGCTTGGTTTGAATTATAGCAGAGCTAATATATTGTAATGATCCAAGGACTATTGAATAAAAATGTAAAGGTACATCAACGTACTGATATTAATTGTAGTTTCATAATACATTACACAGAAACACAAAATCTTGGCCACAATATATATATAAAATGAGATATGGTATGATCGAGTACCAAAGGACAAACTGGACAATAATGTTAACAGCTACAGACTACCTTGAACCCTATACTGCATACCTTTTCCTGTTTGGATCCTATAGGTTTAACCGACGACATTGATAATTTTGTTTTGTTTATTTTGTTTTATAATCGTGTCATGAATAATAGATTTTGATTTGTTATAAAAGCAAAAGCTAAGTACCATGAATACCAAAGACATTAAAATGTTTGTAGACATCACTAATTGTTACTCAAATAAAAAGCTAATGATGTTACCACTTGTTCTTTTTTCATGTGATGATAAAGACCAGAAGGAGGAGTTCTTTACTATTGCATGAAATAAGTGCCTGTGTCATTGTCACTTGAAGCGCACATTTACTGAACCATACATGGGCAGATCCTGGATTCTTTCAAAAGGCGAATTTGCCCGTAACCAGAACAGAAAATGGCAGGAGAATTTTTTGACGATTTTGGCCAAAAAATAATTTTCCAAGCCAATGGAAAAAAAAAAACGTGCTCCTTGACTTTATAAAGGCTTCTGTCATACTGTATGAGTAAACGTCGAATCTATAATCGACTCCATATGTATAAAATTTATGAAATCACAAAAGAGACCAAAGGTCCAAAGCTGTGTTTCAAAACATGTATTTGCTTTTTTATTTTACATTTCGTACATTCACTAATTATACTGATTAACCAGTTTACTTTACACTTTACTTTAAAAATTAAACTACAAAAGCATTATAACCATCATGCAGTTTAAAGACATAATTATAATACCTAATTGGCATAGTTTATGACAGTCAGTTGTCTTTAAAACTTATTCTAATAAAAAATAATAACTATAAATGAATCCAAACAGCTCGAAAGTTATCAATTGGGCAAACAGATCCAATACAGGTCAAATATTAACCTTCAACAAAGTGCAAAATAGATGTCTTATAGTTAGCAAGCTATAAAACCCCCTTGATGACTAAAAGCGAAAGAAATTCAAATGTACATTGATCAGATGAGCAAACTCTAGCCCCTTCCCTTAACCCGGAATATTGGTGTAACAACTGACTTAAATTAGTTGAACAGGTGCTTTACTTGTAAGATCGTTTTACTTAGCACAATAACAAATAAAAAAATAAACACGTAACAAAGTAACAAAAAACGAAATATTAATTTAAGATTACTCGCAGTTACTGAAATCTGGCCACTCAAAACCAAGATTTATATTAAACAAGTTTAAAATAACTTTAAACAAGGTCGCTCATTGCAGAAAATCATATCAGCATATTGCAATGTAATGGTTAATCATAATCTTGTATAATCTTTATCTTTATTAGATTTTAATATCATATTTAATTATCAATCTTTTAGATGACACAGGCTGAAACGTTTTCATGATAACAAAACGTCTCTGTTCTACTGGTAACTTGATATCCCTTCTTACATAATATGAGCTATGATGAGGTTGGTAACCTGTAGAATCTGGAAGTCTTGGTACAGACTTGAAAAAAAATAAACGGGTTTTATTTTCTTCATGACGATAAAAAATTCGACTGACTTTGACGAATCACGTTAATTTTTTTCTAATAATAACGGTAACAGTTAATTATTTAAGACCTCTGAAGAATCATGATAAGGATATTTTGACGAATCACGATAAAATTTTAATCAATTTGACGCTAACGGTAGCAGAAAATGACCGTTTGATGCCTGAAGGTAAAGGGCATTACCTCCCTCATTTATAAGAACTAAAACTGGAAAAAAACTTAGTGGTAAGGAAAAAGGGTTCTTGAAAGCAGGTTCTTGTAAATTCTCAGCAAAGTTGTAATTTTCATAGGTAATGTACTTTGGCCACAAATTCAATATTGTTCAATAAATGTGTTTTCATCCTTTTCTATGCAACAGCATTTCATCTTTTTTTTTTTACATTTCTAAATATGATAATGTTTTTTTGAGCCTCTAATTCAATATTGTATCCTGCTGCACATGCTAAAAATATTTTGTTTGCATTTACAAGACTTTTTTGATATTTTACAGTCTATTTGATAGTATAATGGCGTCTGTGAGAGAGTTTTATAATGACCTGAAACAATTTATGGTAGACAGTAAACTGAATCGCTGTACAGAGGGTTCATACAGAGAACTCAGCAGAGCATTTTTAAAAGCATGTGGACTTGGAATCAGGTAAAATATTTAATCAGATGGATTATTTGATAAAATTGTGATTATCTAGATTTTGCAGTTTTAAAACAAACAATTGTTTTTTCAATATCTATGATAACATATTTGGCATATAGGAACAAGAACTTTTTTTTTACTCAACAGCACTAAAAAGACACACTATAAAATATCAATTGAAATGGCTTAACTTGATCAAAAAGACATATAAACAAAAAACAAGTAAACATACACTGAACGACAGAGACTAAAATCAATTAAAACACATCCCAGGGATTAAGTGTTATAATGCCATGGACAGTCAAAGAAGACATGACTTGTGCAATGCCAAAATAAAAGTATCGATAGGCAGTAGGATAGTTAGGAATTAACCTTAAAATAAATATGTATCATGTTATATATAGATAAAGCAATCTCTAAATAGAAAATAAACGTGGATGTGTTTATACATCCCAAAAAAACATTCGAAAAGAATACAAATTTAGTTATGTTTTAATTTGTTAATGACAAAATCGATGTTAGTGCCAATGTAAACAATATTCAAAGATCTTATTACAACATTAATAAGATAACCTTTACTAATAAGTTTGTTTAAAGGTTTGATGAGTTTACACGGATCACATAGTGATTTCTGCGCTTTTAGTACAATATTACTGTAAAAGTTAGGATGTGAAATACCGTTTTTGATAAGTTTACTTATGAAAGAATTTAGTAAATGTTTTAAGAAGTCTATGGTATCGAAATCCCTGACTTAATAATTTACCAGTGATGCATTGATTATGTTCGTTAAAATCATGCATGATTAACATATTCATTGTCTTCTTGCATTATTTGTTACAGAAAATTGGACACAATTGTATAATAATTTTCATTACAAACCTATCAAAGGGAGACAATTCAAAGTTATCAATGGTTAAATATGAAAAGGGGTTATTGAAATACAAATTGTAAGAATTTGATATCAGATGGTTTTTACAATTTTATAAATATTAATTGAAAAAATAACTCTTGATTTTTATTCAAATTAAATATAATGTCCAGTGACTGTGGATTGAAAAATATTCAGTTTTTTTGAAACTTATATTTGATTAGCAAATTAAATATCAAAATAGGTAAAAATAACCCTATGTCAACCTCTTTTAAAAAGGAGAATCAAGAATACCTGAAAAATAAGAATACAAAGAAAAATCCATAGGAAAAAAATGTTCATGTAACTTAATCGTGTTATAATATAATTTCTCTAATTACACCATTTATCCCTTTCCTGACCCGTTGATTATTTTTATATAATCTATGTGGTTCGTTTGATCTCAGTTCTTCATTGGTCAAATTTTGATTATGACATCAAATTTTCTTGCTTATCTGAATTTCCTATTGGGACGTCATGAAAAAAGGCAACCATGCCTGATGACGTCACATACAAAGAACAAATCTTTTTGCAGATCACTCGAAAAGAAGGATTGAATTTGTCTGCATATCATTTAAAATTAATAAGAGAAACAGATTCCACCACCAAATCTTGTGCAATATGATATTTATCCACTCCCGACAGTTAAATACTTTCTGATACAATTGATTAATATTTGGAGCATTATATTTGTGCTAGTAATGACTTATATACAATGGCAATTCACATTTTCAACTTGGTAGTGACATTACCCTCCTTATTTCTATCAACCGCTTCAGTGGTCTCATAGTAGCATGTTCTCCCCAAGCAGGTAAGGTTGTGGGTTTGATTAGACTAGGTCAAACCAACCATTTTTAAAGGCAGTGCTTTAATGCCTTTCTAGTTGCCGAGTTAATCCTTCCTTCCTCGATATCCAACTTATCTACGTGGGGGGTCATTAGACTCCAAGTAGATCCGGAAATGTTGAATTCTCTCCTCTTCTTATTGCGATATAAAATGTTTTTTGTTTCATTTCATTTACATTGGGAAATAGAGAAACGATCATTGTGTTTTGTTAGTTTTAAAAACTTTTGATATATTAGTATTTTGCATTATAAGCAGTCAACCGATTGACAAACTAGAATTATTTGAATTCCGTGTGGAAAGAGCTCGGGTTAATTTCGAGTGTTATCTGCAATCTAGATGTTTATAAATCATTTCAGTCGTTGATATAATAATTAAAGGTCGACTGAACATGAATTATATTATACAATTTAAAGCGCATTTCTGTTTATGCACGTGAACCCGTCTAACGTTATTTTCGCAGTTATATAAAGTAGCAAATTATCGTTCCTGAATAGGTGGCGCCGTGGTAGCGGATCCTGTTCCTCTACTTCCGGTTTCTGCACTGTGCAACTATTTCAGTTATATTTTTAATTAACGATGCCAAGTACTTGTTGTTGTGTACCTGGATGTCATTTAAGAGGAGGACATGCATTTCCAAATGACTTAAAAAGAAGGAAAAGTTGGATCAACGCCATGACCCATACGCAGATTGGACGAGAACACGATGATATCGTGGAGTCCATCTCAATCAGCTGTTGTTTGCAAGGCACATTTTACTGAAAAAGACTACGTGCAGGAAACTATTCATGGTAAAACTCTATTTTCTTTGTGAAATATATAGTTATATATGTAATCGCCATGCGAATAAACCAAAGTCTGTTTACAACCGCAATTATCGTTTTAGAATAAAAGGGGGTGGGTAATTCAAGACGTCATAATGTTTTGGATTACGATTCAATGTGATCTGTTTAAGATTTTTTGGTGATTGCTACAATTATAATGATTTCTTACAAGAGGTATATCATACTGAGAATTATTTTAGCAGTAATTATGCTAATGTAGTAATGACAGGAATGCATAAGCTATGCCTCATAGACTTTCTTGAAAAATATCAATGACAATGTTAACAGGAACAAAACAATGACATGCTCTCATCTATATTAAAGTTATTTAGGTACAAACAATGTAAGTTTGTTGCATAAGTCTTTCATTGTTTGTCCTTTGGATTTACATAACATACATTGAATCAGGCAAACATAGTTTTATCCAGATTGTAATGAATAAATCTAGTTAATATTTCGCCAGGTAGTACAAAGTATACATTGCTAATGGAAGTTCATTTAATTATAAAAAAACTAATGTTTTATAACCTTTTTCAGGGCGCAAACCCACCATACAGAGACTTAAGTCTACTGCAATTCCCAGCCTATTTTCCTGGACCAAGCAAGAGACTGAATCGTCCGCAAAAAGAAAGATCAGGGCAGTTTCCTGTGAAAACAAAAGAACTAAACTTGATGAATATTGTAGTAAAAATCTAGAGGAAAGTTTTGATTGTAAAGTTGGTTTTCCTGAAGAAGTCATTCATACTGCAGAATGGATTTATGACTGTCCACCACCAACTGCCGAGCTAATGTTGAGCTTCACAGATGGAATTACGCAAACACCATCAATGCCTATGTTTTCAGCAGAGAATTTTGAAATGAAGACACGTGACACAGCCATGCATTTTTATACCGGTTTAGAGTTGTATACTAAATTTTTATTTGTTTTGACCACACTTGGTCCAGCAGCACATTGTTTGAGATACATATATTTTCAAATTGATAGGGTGTCAGTTGAAAATCAGTTTTTTTATGACTTTGATGAAATTGAGGCATCATACTACCAACTTTGAACTGTCTAGATTCTAGATTGAATCTAGTGTTAAGAATATTGTGTATACATGGATTGTTTTTATGTCTAAACAGAGGTGTGAGGCTAACACTTGGCCATCTAGTGGTTTAGTCAGGTATTTTTCACCATCCAACTTCAAATTAAAGTTTCCTACGACTTGGATTATTATTGACAGCACAGAATATCCCGTGATAAAACCTAAAGCTCCTAGAGCTCAGGCAACCTTTTCATCAAATAAAAACAGAAACACTGAAAATTCTTGAATGTTTGACACCTGGTGGTTTAGTCAACTATGTCTCTATGTCACATAGAGCGAATTATTGGACTTGACAAAACATACAAAATTCTAATAAATCCTATGAATGGAACTGAAACAAAACTTTCATCTGAAATAACATTTAGTTGTTTTATGTTGTGTAATTTTAGAACTTGTATTGTGCCAAAGGATGCATAAATAAAAGTGACGCAATGAATTTTGTTCTGATATATATATATTTACAATTACATGCACATGTAAATTGTAATGCATATAAAAATAAGGAGATGTGGTATGATATTCAGTGAGTTTATCAAACTAAAGTGCATAAGAAATGGGTTTAAGCAGTTACAGGTGTTACTGTCACCGTACAATCTCCAACAATGAGAAAAACTCGTACCCTGTAAAAAATTTCAGAGATCTTACAACTAAGTTTTGTTGTCTCACCTTGACTTTGGTGAATTTTTTATATCTGTTGATGTAAATATAAAAAAGAAGATGTGGTATGATTGCCAATGAGACAACTCTCCACACATGCACAAGAGACCAAATGACACAGAAATTAACAGCTATAGGTCACAGTACGGCCTTCAACAATGAGCAAAGCCCATACCGCACAGTCAGCTATAAAAGGCCCAGAAATGACAATGTAAAACAATTCAAACAAGAAAACTAACGGCCTATTTTATGTAAAAAAAATGAACAAATATAACAAATATGCAACACTTAAACAAACAACAACCACTGAATTACACTTTTATAGGCTCCTGACTTGGGACAGGCACATACATTGTACATGTACATACAGAATGTGGCGGGCTTAAACATGTTAGCGGGATCCCAACCCTCCCCCTAACCTGGGACAGTGGTGTAACAGTACAATATAAGAAAGAACTATAAAAATCAGTTGAAAGAGGCTAAACTCATCAGATGGATAAATACAAATACAAGTGGACGTGGTCGGGTAGTTGTACATCCAAACAACAATGAAATTCAATTCATATAACCGATTTCAAGTTCATTGACTACATTTATTCAGAAACTATAATATGTCAAATATTTAATTACAATCCAAATTCAGACCTGTATCAAGCTTGAATATTGTGTCCATTTTTGCCCCAGCTGTTCAGGGTAGTACCTCTGCGGGTGTATCCAGCTGCGCTCAGCAATCAGTTTATTTCTTAATTAAGAACTCCTTTTTTAACGACCGCAAACAAATTTTTGTGGTCGTATATTGGTATGACGTTGGCGTCGTCGTCCGAAGACACATTAGTTTTCGCACTCTAACTTTAGTTTAAGTGAATGGATCTCAATGAAATTTTAAAATAAGGTTCAATACCACAAAAGGAAAGTGGGGATTGATTTTGGGGGTTATGGTACCAATAGTTAAGGAATTAGGGGCCAAAAAGGGGCCAAAAATAAGCATTTTTGTAACTTCCAGACATAACTTGTGTGTAAGTGTATGGATCTCTCTGACATTGTACCACAAGGTTCCATATCACAAAGGGAATGCTGGGATTGATTTTTGGGGGTAATTGCCTCCAAATTTTAGGAATTAGGGGCCAAAAAGGGGCCAAAAACAAGCATTTTTCTAGTTTCATGACAATAACTTGTGTGCAAGTCTATGGATCTCTCTGACATTGTATCACAAGGTTCCATATCACAAAGGGAATGCTGGGATTGAATTTGGAGGTAATTGCCTCCAAATTTTAGGAATTAGGGGCCAAAAAGGGGCAAAAAACAAGCATTTTTCTAGTTTCATGGCAATAACTTGTGTGTAAGTGTATGGATCTTTATGAAATTGTACTACAAGGTTCCATATCACAAAGGGAAAGCTGGAATTGAGTTTGGGGGGAATTGCCCAAAAAGTTTAGGAATAAGGGGCCAAAAATAAGCATTTTTCTAGTTTCCAGATAATAACTTGTGATCAAGTGCATGGATCTCTCTGAAATTTTACTGCAAGGTACCATACCACAAAGGGAATGCTAGGATTGATTTTGGGGGTAATTGCCTCCTAATTTTAGGAATTAGGGGCCAAAAAGGGGCAAAAAACAAGCATTTTTCTAGTTTCATGACAATAACTTGTGTGTAAGTCTATGGATCTCTCTGACATTGAATCACATGGTTCCATATCACAAAGGGAATGCTGGGATTGATTTTGGGGGTAATTGCCTCCAAATTTTAGGAATTAGGGGCCATAAAGGGGCAAAAAACAAGCATTTTTCTAGTTTCATGGCAATAACTTGTGTGTAAGTGTATGGATCTTTATGAAATTGTACTACAAGGTTCCTTATCACAAAGGGAAAGCTGGGTTTGAGTTTGGGGGTAATTGCCCTAAACGTTTAGGAATTTGGGACCAAAAAGGGGCCAAAAAACAAGCATTTTTCTAGTTTCCAGACAATAACATGTGTTCAAGTGTATGGATCTCTCTGAAATTGTACTGCAAGGTACCATACCACAAAGGGAAGGCTGGGATTGAGTTTTGGGGTGATGAATCATAAGGGGGTTCAAAAAATTTGGGGGGGGATTCTTTTTCCTTTTTTTTCTTTAAAATTTTCCATTTTAAATTGGTTATTTCTGATTTATATATAAAAGCAAATAATAATGATATGGTTTGAATAGGTAAATTGAATTTTTTTAAGTATCTTAGACCACTTTCATTCTGTGTCAGAAACCTATGCTGTGTCAAATATTTAATTACAATCCAAATTCAGTGCTGAATCAAGCTTGAATGTTGTGTTCATACTTGCCCCAACTGTTCAGGGTTCGACCTCTGCGGTCGTATCAAGCTGCGCCCCAGCGGAGCATTTTATTTCATTCAAAAATTACTTTATGCTTGGAAATATAATTTTGCTTGGAGTTGAAAGAGTTGACATGTTGCAATGTACATTTACTCTACATAGTTCTATGGTACCAAATCAAAAGTTTATATAAAGAAAGAAGTCAAAGGTTTCCCATCATAGTTTAGTTACATACATTTTTTTTGTACCCGAGGTCGTTGAATATAGATCATTATATAAATAAGGAGATGTGTTATGATTGCCAATGAAAAAACTAAGGATTTTCTTATCCAAGGAATAGATTACCTTAGCCGTATTTGGCACAACTTTTTGGAATTTTGGGTCCTCAATGCTCTTCAACTTTGTACTTGTTTGGCTTTGTTACTATTTTGATCTGAACGTCACTGATGAGTCTTATGTAGACGAAACACACGTCTGGCGTATTAAATTATAATCCTGGTACCTTTGATAACTAATTTGACTATAAACATAGATAAAAAAGGTACAAACTGGACATAATGCACTAGTTCATAAACAAGTGAGAACAATCGCCTTCATATAGTGCTCAGAATATGACATTCATAAAACTTATTCAATATCATTAGAGAACTCTAAATCTTAAATACTGAAAGCCACCTCTGATAAGTACACTGTACTATGCAAGATAATGATATAACTGGACTTAAAATACACACAACCTGTAATTAACTGCCTTTACAGCGCTTTCGTGCTTTGATTTAAATTGGTATTAGCTGCTTCTTGCAATTGGCTATGAAAAACAGCATTAAAGAGTAAGGCCAAAGACTGGTTGGCTCAGAGTCATAATAATGTGTCCTGGTAGAATGACATTCCACCCTTAATGATTATTTATATGCAACAGGTGTTTGACACATATTTCGTACATGTATGAATATACAATTCTAATACAATACTGATGACACATAATTATAATTTTCAAAAGGAAAGGAAGTCTTGGAACGTTATCATTAGAATGTTAGCAATAAAACATATGTAGTGATATATATATATATGAGAGATGAAGATTTCAATATTTTTTTAGATTGAATTGTTTCCCTTTATACAATGATACATGTACAGTTATTGAAATTAAGTTTGGAAATTATTTTTATTCTTAAAAATTACTATTTGTAAATCAAGACAATATAATTCAGAGGTTATATTCAAAATGGTTTCTCTATACACAGTCACTTGACCGTGTTATTGTATCAGTCAGAAATGTTAGCTAGTTGAGCTCTAGCCTCAATGAATTATTTTCACAATTTAGGGTGGGGTTTTTTTCCTATGTGTTTTGGGAGCTTGCACAATTAAAGATATATTAGAGACAGAACTGCACTTAGTAACAGCAGAAAAATGTAAACTGTAAGTCAAGGGAGACAATTGGTGGAGTTTGATGTTAGACTTTCATGCAGGTGTGATAATTGTGTTTATGAATTTTTTTATTTTTGATAGAGCTGGAAATGTAATGAACCAAACATTTGAGATTGGAGAGCTGACTGTAAAATCAGTGCCAGACCTGAGATGTTGTTTCCATAGTAACAGTTCAGAAGTTAATTATCAAGTAGAAACTGTTCTTGTGATAGGAGAGGTATATGAAATATTTTACACTGCCAGTGATAGATATTAACTTACATACAAATCACAGTTCAAATATGGTACAGAGAAGGTGGTTAGAGTTATAGTATTTAAATGTTTAACATAAAAATAAAAAATACACTGCTATCATTTATAAATGGCTTTTTTTTGTCTTATTTTAAAAGAAAAGGGTCCAAAGGATTTAATCATTAAACATGATGCTTACAAATTTGTAATAAACTCCAATATTGTGCTTTTCAACCCTACTTTTATATGAAAAAAAAACTGTATAAAGAAAATTGTAAATAGAAAAATAATCTGTCATATGCAGGTAATTATAAGGTTTTATATTAATTTACCAAAAAATTTTGTACAAGCCATGAAGGTAAAAAAAAAATATTTCACCTTCCTTCGTGCTTCCTGATATACATTACTAGGGACTCTGTGGGATTTTTTTAATGAAAAAAATACACAAAAAGAATTTATTATTCGAAATATATATGTGGTAGAAATATACTAGGACAAGAGTTTTCATTTTTATGTTTGACCTTTGACCCCAAGCATCTGCCTGATATTCATGAATATATACCTTTTGTCTGCCAACATTCCAATTTATAATAAAAACACACTTAAAAACTTAGTAATATAACTACCGCAGCACACATCATACACAAAATGAACAGAAAGGATGCAAAAACTAACTATTTTTATAGCGTATGACCATTGTACGTGAAAATCTTATTTCGCACAGGAAAATATGGGAAACTGTACTAGTTAGCACAAAAAATTAAAAAACGAAATTTTCAAATGTTTGGAATTTTTAATTTCCATGTACTTACTATTTGACCATATGATTTACACAAATAGCAGTTTCCTGTTTTAGAAGTGTAGCAAGTATTTAATAAGGCTACCATTGTTGGATGCACAAGTTGGTTTGTCTAAGGTCCAGGGTAAGAACTGAATCCCCCCCCCTATTTCTACCATTTTTTATTATGATAAAATCAAAGAAAATTAGTTTCAATCCACCTTTCCATGTGAAACCCTCTACATCAACTTTAAAGATTTCCAGAATTCAGACAGTAATAATAATTAAATTAAACATACACAATCATAACTTGAAGCAAAGCTGCGTGTCTTTCTTTTTGACGCTTTTGAGTTATAATTTGCAGTAAATATGAAAAACAAATTATGTGCATAATAAATATGATACGTGCCTGGATTTGTGTTTTTAACTTTTATTTCTAATTATTTGTGTGGTTACGTTGCTGTCTTGTTACTTTATACATCTCCTTTCATTCAAGAGCCAAGATAAAAAAAAATTATTGACAGTTTGTTTCATGTCCAGTGGCAAATATTTCAAACACATTCAGGATGAGAACAAACTATAAATAAATGTAATAGGCTTAGCTTGGTTCTGTAATAGGGATCGACCGGGGGAAAGGAGGGAAATTTCAACAGTCACCAGTTGAAAATGTGGGTATAATGGATAGGGCATAAATTTTCTTCCTTGCATCAGGCTACCCACGAAACCATAAAAAAGTTGCTGCAAAAATTCTTAACGTGCAGGGAGCGTGGTACTCTCTCTTCACGAGGCCTCAATTCGTCCCTATTCTAACCGGACGTGGTTGCGTATTCAAACATCCCGCACAACCAAACAGATGCTCCACTTTGCCAAGGGTTTTACTTGTGGTCGGAGGAAAATCATATTTCTATACCACCAGTCACCTTTGGGGTTCAAGGATGAAGACATACTACTGTACATGTCTTGTATGTACAGAAAATGAGAATAACACAGGCCTGTATATACGTAACATATATATGAACATGCACTCTTTCATACATTCAATTCAAAATATGGACTTAAAATATGAAAAATTTCATTATATGTTATGAATTAATCTAATTTAATATGGCCACGTTCAGATATTATTATGTTGGTATCTTCTTCTGAAAAAATTAAAGCTAAATTTCCCTGAATATATTAGACATCCAGACAATTTCCAAAGAGTCTTCATCATTATCAATATTTGGAGTATGGTATCTTCTTGTGTATACTTTGAAGGTCTAACCACAACATTACGAAATTTCTTTAAAAACATATCACCCAATTATGGGTCGAAGCTGTAACTTAGGTAGATTGTTACAAGTATGCATATGTACATTTGTACCACAACAATGAAGAAGAATAGCATACTTTACCAAAACCAATAAAATTGGGAATGGAAATGGGGATGGTCAAAAAGACAACAACTCGCCCAAAGAGCAGAAAAAAGCCGAAGACTACCAATGGGTCTTCTACACAATTAGAAAATCTCGCACCCGGAGGCGGGCTTCAGCTGGCCTCACAATAATAATGTATACTAGTTCATCGAAATGGACGCCACACTAAACTCCAAAGTAACGCTCCTTCTTGTATTTCAGATACAAATCATTTTAGTTATTTTAAGGATGTCTTAATGCAAAAATTTTGAATATCATTTTTAAATATTTTGTTTATACATACTGTTTTAAAACTGTCCCCTACAACAATATATAGCACTAAATAACCTTTTGAATAAATAGATAGATATGTGTAAATTATTTTGTAAAATCTTCAATATGTATTGATTTAAACTCTAGAATACTTCGGATTTGTAACCTCCAAGTAAAAAAACTTGTTGAATAATAAGATGTTATTTTTTTAAAATATTTAATCGAAATATTACAATGCATGTATTTAAATAAATCCGTGTGGTGGTGGATGAAAACGACAACTATTTCACATGAAGGAGTCAAACCAGCTAAGAAAAACTTATTCATCTGTAAATTGATCTTTATACATGACACGATATGTGGTTTATGATTATGATTGGTTTAATGTCCAGTGGCAAACATTTCATATATGCTCAATAAGTTAGCAAATCAAATTATTCATTTATTTATGGTCTTCAAAAATAGACGATCGCGGAATGAAGGGCAGGAAATTAAGACTTCAAACGTTATAGCATGATTGTTAGTATGTGTGTGGATTTGCCTGACAGAAAGTAAAATGCTCTCCGCAAACAAGGCTTCAAATTTAAAGTTGACATACTGTTGCTTCGTATTTATGCATCCGATATAACAAACAGTTAAAGTACAGCCACCTCAATAAGGGTCTTACATCCGAAAAGCCTGGGCCAACAATTTGATTTGAAAAAGGGATAGTATATCCATGCATATTTTTAATTCAGGTTACAAAATGTTCAAGCTTAGAAACATTACATCTGGGATAAAAACAGCTAGATTCAATACAATTTTCTTTAATTTACATATAATATATATAATTTGAAAGGAACTTTAAGATTTTCAGGGATATATAGTTTTAAAAATGATATTATTATGAATGAACGCTGTTACATGTAAATCTAAATCACATTAATATAAACTATATCGTGGTAAAAAATATCTAAATCATATTAATATAAACTGTATCGTGGTAAAAAATCTTAATTCAACTTGATAAATGTTGTTAGATTTTAAACATATACATGCAACAATTTTGCAATTTCGAAATGAATTTAGTGAGTGGTTTAGTGTTTTTTTATTGTAAGCATTTATGTAACTTTCTAAGACCCCGTTTACACCTCTAGTCTAATGTAAACGGGAAAGATCGATCTTCAATCGGACTTAAAAAGTCCACCTCTAGAGGTGGTTTTAAAACGATTGATCTTATTTGAATCGATCTTTCTTCAAGTGTAAACGCTAAGATCGATCGCGAACTGGTCTTTTTAAGAACGATTTAAATAACGATCAGTTCGATTTGGTACAAGGGTAATATTTTAAAGAAGACGTGTTTTATGTAGTATACATATATATGTGTTCCGTGACACAAATCCAATGTTGAATCAAATGCTTATTATAAATATTATACTTGTTTCCTTCAAATTTAATTAATACTGAATGGTAATAACTAAGGACAATCAATAACAAGCTTTTATAGCCGACCAAAGGGTATGGTTTTTTTCTCATTGTTGAAGGCCGTACGATTGCCTATAATTGATTACATCCACTTCATTTGAACTTTGATGGATAGTTGTCTCTTTGGCAATCATACCACATCTCCTTATTTTTATTTTGTTTGTATCCATATTATTTTAAGATAAACATGATGTTGTTAATTCTTTTTTGCTTGTTTTGCTTATTTTAATTTTAATTTTTCGTTAAATCATTTTGGCTTTTCTTTTTCGTCTTGTTTTATGTTTGTTTTGTTATTTTTTTGGGGAAAAGGGGGGGGGGGGGGGGTCGGGGGTATAGTTTATTTTTTTCAACCTTTTTTACAAAACCTGGACCATTCTAATTTTCAAAATAGAAAAATTTAACGTCGCTTGTATTGCATATTTTGTTTGAATTCAATTATAATAATATATATTTTTTCTTTAAAGGAAAGTATTAATTGGTTGAGTAAATAAATTATTTATACTTAACTCTTACTATTGCATTATAATTTTTATTAAGTTATGTGAATTCAAGTGTACAGAATATCCTGCAAAGTACCTCAAACTATTTTTTATAAACAAAGGGAATTAACCCTTATCAGGTATCTATAATGACAATATTCCATGAAGTTAGTTATAGCGAATCTTTGTCGTATTTGTGCAAGTAAATATGTATTCGAATTTATAATCTGATTAAATGACAACAATGGATCGTGAATAACGCAACGTGAATTACGTTCGTCAGTGTAAATTTTTAAGCAGAAATTGAAAGTTTAACTGACTGCATGATGATGTGAACAGTGAATAAATCTAACGTTACGGCGCTTTTTTGGTTCTTTTAATGCTGAACCTTGCCGCCTTTGACGCACTGGCGCCTCGTCAATTCGTAACACATTTACATACACTGGACATTGTTGTAAAAATAATATGTTGTAGATTGCGGGGAGCGATGGATCCTTGAAAAATATGTGAACATGGGGTATCTTTTCCGGGGGAAACTCCAAATTTTGTTGATTTTCTTCAAAATTAGACACTTTATTGACGAAATTGGATTAGGATACCTACAAAATTTTACTGTTCTCAACTTCAGGATGATGCATGCAAAATTTTGATGTCTGTTTACGTTTCTATAAGTAGCGCTAGGTCCCGATAGGATATTAAATTGTTGCATATGATAGCGAAAAATAAACGTTATGGATAATATTACCGATTTTCACATTGTTATGAAATATAGATACAAAAAGGTAAAGTTTGTAACTTTTAGCCTAGTTTGAAGAACTAAAATTCAAGTTTCCTGTGATATTTTATTTTTAACTGACATCGAATGAAAAATTTTTTTTTGTAATTTTTACCAACGTCGATAACACCAATTATGCATTACGGCAGATATGAGTTTATTGACGTGACGTTCCCACAGAGTCCCTAACATTACATCCTAAAACTAATGAAATTTTGCCTTCAGAAGAAACATTTGAAAACAGAAGAATTAAAGGAAGTTTTTGTCTCAATTTATAGATAAAAAAGTGGAAGAGGAATTGGAAATTGCTTCATTCAATGGATTTTAGATCACAACATCTTCAACCTTGTAATGTCCTCGGACAACATGGTGGTCAATTATTACTTGAGACTAACAGTACTAGTTTTAGAATAGGAGTAGATTCAGGACATCAACCTAGTAGACTTGTGTATGGAGCCATTGTTATTGGTACACAGGTAAATCTAAATTTAAGCCAGATGCTTACTATACAGAAAACTAAATTTGAAAGAAACATAAACGTCTACCACAAACTTGGATAAACTCAGGAGATTTTAAAATGTAATAACTTTTTTTCCACATGTGGCTCCAGTCATGTTACTTGGGACTGAATTTGATGATCAAGAAATAAGGACATGACTGTGGCTATGACAAGAGGAATATATTCATTAAGTTATTATTATTTTCGATTATTTAAGTTTGATTGTTTATGTTATAGCAGTGTATGGACAGGAAGTGTGAATCTTTCAACAGCTGATGATATTAGTTTTCAGATTTATAAATGGAAACATATTCATCTGTGATAGTGTTTTATGTCATTTTTTTTTTACTTTCTGGTTGACTGGTAATCAATATCACGCATTCATATTCAGTTTAATTTTTTATGTTCTTAAACATGAGTCTTGTTTGGTGCTAGACCAACACTCTGGATAATATAGGCTAGTTACTGTACTTTCTTTGGCACTTAATTTTAATTCTGAGCAATTTGGTCTTAGATCTCACTCTTAAATGTAACATATGTTAAGTAGAGAAACACCAAAGGAGAAGGTCTGGTAAGGGCTAATTTTGGCTTAAAATTTGAAGTACATCTGATGGAAGATTTTTTTACATTTTTCAAACACTTAAGTTTCTACTTCAGTTGATTCGAACTGATTTGGTCTTTAAAGATGCTCAAATTCAAGCTTTAATATGAAAAATCTATCAAATATGCAATAAAACGTCTCTTTTCAGTGCGGCCACTTCCATTTTAGACAAAAACCGTCTAAAAATTAGCACAAATGCTAAAATTGTGAAGATTTCAGTAATTTTGTATAGTCAGATACTTTTTTTGTATTTCATATCTTTATTCTGTGGATTATTTTGAATTTCAGGTTATTTTTACTGCTCTAGAAATATCTGAACAGCACCTGACTGAAATTGAAAATGTGAAAACATATAAAGGAAGAATGGAAAATGAAAATAGAACTGGCAATTCAACTATTTCATACACAAGACCTTATGACTACTTGAAAGCTTCTGAAAGATCCTTGCTATATGAATCTTTATTGAGGTTCGCCTGTTACCAGAAAGGACTGACATGAAATATTAAACTTATGGATGCCATACTTAAAACAGCAGTTACATAAATATCTTTTTTTAACTGATACAGGATATTGTTCGCTACCTTAGTCATGTTAGTGAAGTTTGATAGATTATTTTTATGAAGATAGAAAAATACAAAGTGTTTGTGTTCAGCAATGTCCACTAACAGTCAGCAGTGTATTTCTGGAAACAGTGATCAAATAATGTGTCTTAATGTCTGAATATAGGAACATTGGAAGTCAATGAATTGTTATTAAAATTAACAGAAAAATCACTCTTTTTATAATGACTTTTAACGACTTTTAAAAAACATTTTTAAACGATAGACATACATATTACTCCCTACTCATGACATGGGCAATTTTATTATTTGATGGTTTAGAAGATGAAGTTGATGGACTTAATTACTTTTACAAATATATATTTGAAAGGCAATATAAATATAAATATAAGGAGATGTGGTATGATTGCCAATGAGACAACTATCCACCAAAGTTAAAATGAAGTGGATGTAAGCAATTTTAGGCAACCGTATGGCCTTCAACAATGAGAAAAACCCGTACTGTATAGTCGGCTATAAAAGGCTTGATATAAAAAATTATGAAACAATTCAATTGAGAAAATTAGCGCGCTAATTTATAACAAAACAATTTACGAAAAACAAATATGACAGACATGAACTTACAACAACTGTTGAACTACAGGCTTCTGACTTGGAAAGGCACATAAAGAATGTGGAGGGTTAAACATGTTTGAAGGCTCCAATGCTTCCTCTTACCTGGGACAATGGTGCAACGGCACAACACAAGAACAAATTATGCAAAACAATAAACGAAAAAAAATGAGAAACAGCAATAAATCACAACCACTCAATGACAGGCTCTTGACTTGGGACAGACACATATAGAATGTGGCAGGGTCAAACATATTTGAAGGCGCCAACCCTGCCCCTAACCTGGGACATTGGTGTAAAGGCACAACATGAAAACAAACTATAAAATTCAGTTGAAAAGGGCTTAACTCATCAGATCGATACAAAGCAGAAAAACATCTAACAAAAACACAGACAGGACGTGACAGGGAATTTATCCATCCCTCATCCCTAACAACAAAAAAGACACATAGTACAGATCTGAGAAAACTTACAGTTACTGACAGCTAGTTCAAAGCCAATAACAACTAATAAAAAAAAAAGATATGTACCTAAGACTAAAATATCAATCAGTACACATCCAACATCCAATGGAATTAGTGTAAAGACATCATTAACAGTCAGAGAAAAACATGACCTTGTGCAATGCCAAAATATTAAATTACTGCTATACATCAAGCTCTAAATCATCCAAACTTTTGACAAATTTTGAGTTATTTAAAACAGACTATCAAAGATATATTCATAACCATAAATTTGATGAAGAGACAAATACATATAGAAATGATTTGAAAAGACTAGCACTGAAGATGTTCTTTAGTTAAAGCAGGCACACTAACTGTTACACTAGCGTCTTCGGCACTCAGCCCCCTGTCCATACAATAACAAATGATAGTTGGAGTTATATTAGAATTAGTGCAGAATAATCATGAACTCTATGATAAGGTATAAGTTAATGGAAACACCAAGGACAATGTGACAATAGTATATTCCACATTGAAAATTTTGAAGGTTTAGAAATATTGGATTGTATAAATTAAATGCACTTTTTAAAATGAAACTTGCAGGATATGAAGGTAAATTTTAACCAGTTGTTAGTATTTTAAAAAAATGGAGAAATCATTGTCATAATTTCCATGTTTTACTTCATTAGGTACACTTGTCTCCATCTGAAAAATATAGTATATATAGAGAAACTGTGTGAACGACAAAAATGACCAGGAATTTGTGATCTATAAGATTTATAATGACTGTCAAATCAGAATTTTTTGCGTACATCTTTTATTGCAATTTTTGAAAAATGAACAAATGTTCTTATGTTGTACTGTTACATCACTGTCCCAGGTCAGGGGCAGGGTTTGGCGCCAACAAACTAGTTTAACCCCGCCACATTCTGTATGTACTTGTCCCAAGTCAGGAGCCTGTAATTCAGTGGTTGTATTTTGTTGCCATATATCATATTTGTCAAATTTGTTTTGTTTCCTGTTCATTTTTTTGTACATACATCATGCCGTTAGTTTTCTCGTTTGAATTGTTTTACATTTGTCATTTTATAGCTGGAATATGCGGTATTTGTTTTGCTCATTGTTTAAGGCCGTACGGTGACCTATAGTTGTAAACTTCTATGTCATTTTGTCTCTGGTGTAGAGTTGCCTCATTGGCAATTTTACCACATCTTCTTATTCAAGTTTATAAAAAGAGAGAATATATAAAAATAGTGATTTCAGATTTAAAAGGCGAGGTTTTTGTATTTTGTGAAACATATCCCTCTGCAATGTTTGCAATTATAAGTACATTGCTAAAATTTATGAATTTACAGTAAGTAAATTCTTAAAATTTAAGGATAATTTTCCCTGAAAAACTTTTACTGTATTCAAAAATGTTCTCCGAGTGCACCTGGATAAAACCTGGCCACAATTATATACAAAGTGTGTGAAACGTGGCTGTCACTATTGTTAAACGTATAAAGGTTGGTTGTGAGCAATTCAGTCTCCTGAGATTCTCTTAAGTTTTACGAATGATTTGTACGTTTGGCATATGTAAAACCTTCTAGGTTGCAGATTGCAGTTTGTAAAATAGTAGCATTTCTATTTTGCTAGAAATTTGGTCGGGTGGGAAATTTGGACTGCCGCTTGAAAACAATTGACCAGGTAATGTTGGATAGAGCCAGATATTTTGCCTTGCAACAGGTCACCTACAGACCTATCAAACAGTTGTTGCAAGGGTTCGTAACGTGCAGAGAGCGTTGCAGAATTGATTTATACATTAAATATTTTGCATGAGTTGCTACAAATGTATTCTTGAACCAGTAAAATTTGATATCATGATGCTCCATTGGTAAACGTTTTGTCGTACAAGAGAGCACAAGAATATATAGATTAAATAAAATTTAAAAATCATCCAATTTGCTATGCCAGGAGAAACGAACTATAACTTTGAATACAAATGGAACACAACGGAGATAAGCTATATAATAAATAACTATAGATTGATTCAGCCTTGTTTGTTAAACGTCCAGTGGCAAATATTTCATGCATATTCAGGACAAGAACAAATATTAACACAATATGTTGGTTTAGCAAGGTATGTCAACGGGATGAGAGACGGGAAATGTTGGACTGCCACTGAAAAAAGTGGTTATTTTGAATACGGACAGACATTTTGCCTGGCAACATACCAACCACGGACTCACCATCCTACCACGAGCATTATTGCAAGAGTCCCTTAACGTGCACAGAGTGTCTACCTTTATGAGACATCAGAATTAACGTCTCCATTCTGACTATCGGTATACATGGCTGCGAATTTATACATCCCGCACAGCCAGACAGATACCCCACTCATGCAAGGGTTTTACTGCTGTTGAAGGGATGAAAGTCTATGAATAAGTAAAGGAAAAAGACAAAAATGTCTTTGTACATGTTGAAGAAACTTGTCATTTATTATTTAAAATCATCACGTTATAGAAGTCTTTATATCCAATAACTATCACATCGGTGTTCCTCGTTTATTTGTTTGTTTACTTTACTATGTACAGATATTTTTGTACAAACGAAGTCGAGGAATTACCTTATTTCTCTACTCACGACAACCCTTGCGGTGAATTAAGTCTAAAAAACAGGAAGCTATTTGTGACGTCCGCACACTTTATCATCCCGTCTTATAGTTTTGCTTGTCTCAGATTTACGCAGCGTTTAATAAAATTAAAATTTGAAGAAGAAAAAAAAACTGTTGTCACTTTTAGCATTCTAGTGCAAATGTACATATTCTAAATTTATCTTTTTTCTAGTGTGGAGTCAGCGTTTACAATTTCCGTTATTTAGAGGAAGGACGGCTTGTTAACGGATGTTTATCGTTTTATAAAGGGAAAAGACGCATTTACAAATGTCTGACCTTCATCCCGTTAATCGGTGCATGTACTGTTTTGACTAAGTGCCGAATTGACCATGTCGTCCCTTTCTTATCATTTCATTCCCCAGTCTCATCAATCCCTCGATTATTGTCAAAACTGAAACACGTTGTTTTTCTACTTGGAAGTTTTATCCACCACTAGAGTAAGTTAACCTTTTATATTTGTGCTCATTTTTTATATCGTTGTGCATATTGTTTAATTATACATTTTATGCAACTTCATATTTGATTATTGGTGTTCATTTACACACGACATGAGTAAATATTGCCGCTGTGAATATACAGTACTGTTTGTATTTTTTATGTATGCATTTCTCCCTTAAATTCCATTCATTATTTGTCAATCCCACATGTTAGGATTTATTTTTGTGTTTTATTGATGTAGACAAGGGTCACGCTCGAATTTTCTAGAAATACAGTCCCGCACAGTCTCAACGTGTGTAAAATTTATATCGTGCGTGGTATGAAGAGTACAGTCAATGAAAAATGCAACCTTTCAATTTTCTTGCATATTTAGATACGTGTGTGCAATCTTTTTCTGATATATTTATGTTGTACTTCGAAGTGTAGTGTACAAGAGTTACTTGTATTGAACTGTATAACCATTTTCTTTGTGAATGTACTACTATTTGACATTTATTGTATAAGTGTTGCCTTAATATTATGCTTATGATTGTTACTTTGTACTTTCAGTTTTTCACCCTCTCCGGGGGTCTGTATACCAATAAACTGTTGATCTCTCAACGACTTATCAGTACAGTGAAAAATCTACATTATAGAGATAAACCCAAGATAGATTCAACATGTCACAGTCAGAATCCGTTTCTGAAAGAGAGTTAAGAACTTCTAGAACACTTACATCTGATGGAGATCACCTTTTCCAACAGTCTAATGAACGACATCAATACATTATTAGAACTATTAGGAGAGATATCGACGCTATTATACTAGACGTAGAAGATAATCCAGTGGTGGACCTCTCCACAGCGTCGACGTACAGAGATGAAATTTCAAAACTATCAGAAAAGTTTGAAAAAGAAGCTAACACATATTTTGATTTCTTAAAATCATATAGGACAAAAGAAAGTGAAATCGAGCATGCATCATTTAAAGTGTCATTCTATGCGTTAAAGGCCAAAATATCCGTCGTCAAACAACATCTTAGTGAATTACTACCTAGTAGATCCAAACAAGATAGTGAACGAACTCTTAAAAGTCGTAGCTCCCATCATAGTTCCCGTCATACTGGGTCAACAAGAAACTCGTCACTAAGTGCTCAATCAGAGATTCTTAAACAAACTGTGAAACTGGAAACCGCAAAGACACGACTTAAATATGCCAAAGAGGAGGCAGAACTGTTGCACCGTGAAGCTACACTCAAAGCAGAGAGAAACGTCCTCTCTATGAAGCGAGAAGTCGACGAAGCTGAGTCGGGATTGCAAGCCGTTAAGAAGGCTTTGAATTATGATCCTAATGACTATGGTGAAAGTTATGAACCACCAATAATTGCTAATCCGGTAGTTCAGTATGCCGATGTAGACAGGATATCTGAAAGAAAGTACCGTAGTTCTAAAGTACCAGATACACATAACATTACAGAACGACGTACAGCAGAATTTGTGGAGCAACAGCGCTCACAGCATGCTTCTCATTTGACCGAAAATGACTTTCAAGCAAACAGTGTTAACATTCCTGTTCATTCTTTAGGACCATTGAATCCAACAGCACGACCTTTTGTTCCGACCCAGAGGAACGAAGCACAAGAATTGGCCAAGTTTATGGTGAAGAAAGACTTGATTACATCTAGGCTCATATCATTTGATGACCAGCCTTCACATTACTCATCTTGGAAAATTAGTTTTCAACACATAATGACCGAGTTAGATACAAATCCTTTGGAACAGTTGGACCTTCTAATAAAGTTTTTGGGACCAAGCTCAAAACAGCATGCTCAGAACATTAGATGTGCTAATGCCAATAATCCGGATACTGCAGTGCGGCTTATATGGGAACGCTTAGATGCTAGATTCGGTAGTCCAGAGATGATAGAGTCGTCACTTCACTCACGTATAGTTAACTTCCCGAAACTTTCAAACAATAACCGAAAGGAACTCTACGAGTTAGCGGACTTAGCTGCTGAGATCGAGTCTATTCGCAAAGATGAAAAGTTTGCCACCACATTCGCTTACTTTGATTCGTCTCTAGGTGTGAATCGTTTTGTAACCAGATTACCTTACAGTATTCAAGAAAAATGGACTACTACTGCCAATGGTTATAAGTCAAAAAACCATGGAGCATATCCGCCATTCTCCTTCTTTGTGCCATTCTTGCAAAACATTGCTAAAGTGCGTAATGACCCTGGATTTTTATATGACAATCAAGACACCAAACCGACCACATCTAGACAAACGAGAGTACAAAATCGTTTTCGAAGTCCTGCGCAAGTTTCAAGCATTAAAACCGACATTGGACACAGTGTTAATAGACCACCTATTCAGAAGCAAAATGAGGACGTGTGTCCCCTCCATGGAACTAATCATACACTTAACACGTGCCGTGGTTTCCGTGCTAAACCATTGTCAGAGAGACTTGATTTAATTAAGCAGAAAGGTTTGTGTTTCAAGTGTTGCGGACCTAAGAGACATTTCCGTGACAAGTGTAAAGAGGATGTCAAATGCAGTGTGTGTTGTTCTCGTGACCATCCGTCAGCCTTACATGTAGATATTACAGCCGAACCCCAGAAAAAGCACGAGGAGGAGAATTCTAAGGAACAGATTAGCAGCAAATGCACCAAAATATGTGACTCGATACACAATACCAGTAAATCATGTGCTAAGATAGTACTCGCCAAAGTATATCACTCTGATAGACCAGATCATTTCAAAACTGTTTACTGTGTGATCGATGACCAAAGTAACAGGACTTTAGCAACGTCAGATTTCTTCAACTTCTTCCGAGAAAACGACACTGAAACCGAATATGTACTTGCTTCTTGTGCAGGAAGGTTCGTTACTAGTGGACGAAGAGCTTCCGGATACGTGTTAGCATCGCTTGACGGATCATTCTGTCTTAACGTACCTGAAATAATCGAATGTAATGACATTCCAAACAATCGGGAGGAAATACCCTCATCTGTTGTAGCTTCAAGTTATCCGCACATGATGGACATAGCAAGTTGTATTCCTGACATTGACAATCAGTCTGAAATACAGATGTTAATAGGCCGTGACCTTATTAGAGCACACCATGTTATTGAACACCGTGTTGGAGCTGACGAAGTACCGTATGCACAGCGTTTACCTTTAGGATGGGTTATTGTAGGCAATGTATGTCTTGGTAGATTTCATGGACAAAAAGTAGTTAATGTAAACAAAACTGTAATCTTAGGCAACGGACGACCTACTTTATTGTCTCCGTGTGATAGCGAGATGTCAGTTAAATTAGACCCAATCTTCGACAAGACTAAACTAGACGAAAAGGAAGGTGTGTCAATAGAGGATCAAACCTTTTTGAATATAATGTCATCAGGATTCTTCAAACAAGATGATGGACACTGGATCGCTCCACTACCTTTTAAACCCAACAAACCTTCTTTAGAAAACAACAAACAAATTGCAGAGCGTAGAGCTAAATCGTTTGATATGAATTTACGTTGCAACTCCGTAAAGCGCACACAAGTGTTAGATTTTATGCAGAAACTGTTTGATCGAGAACATGCCCAGATAGCACCCAAACTATCGCCAGGTACTGAGTGCTGGTACTTGCCTATGTTCGCAGTGTATCATCCGAGGAAACCAGAGAGTGTAAGAGTAGTTTTTGACTCTTCTGCAAAACATCATGGACTATCTTTGAACGACGTCTTGTTGAAAGGTCCAGACATTTATAACAGCCTTCTTGGAATATTACTCCGTTTTAGGAAAGAGGCTTACGCCGTTACCGTTGATATCGAACAAATGTTTCATAACTTCAGAGTCATAGATGAACATAGACGTTTCTTGCGCTTCCTGTGGCACAAGGACAACGATTTTGAAAAACCACTTACAGAATATCAGATGTTAGTACACGTCTTCGGAAACAGTCCGTCCCCAGCAGTGGCTACGTATGGTCTGAGACGAACTGTCCAACGCGCTGAACTTGATGTGAAAGACTTTGTTAGCAACGACTTTTACGTAGATGATGGACTTACCTCTTGTGCAACTCCAGAGGGAGTTATTGATCTTGTTCAAAGAACTAAGAAAACTTTATACGAAAACGGTAGACTTAGATTGCATAAAGTTGCATCTAACAGCAGGTTAGTGCTAGAAGCATTTCATTCAGATGACCTTGCCAAAAATCTCAAGGACCTTGACCTTGGATCGGCAGATCTCCCGATGCAGAGAAGCTTAGGTCTCTCATGGGACACAGAACTGGACGAGTTTACCTTTAGTGTGTCTTCCGACATCAAGCCATTTACACGCCGCGGAGTTCTTTCAACAATCAACAGTCTGTATGACCCAATTGGCTTTGCTGCACCAGTTATCATTAGAGGCAAATTACTCATGCGTCAAATGCTCTCATCTTCATCTACTATTGATTGGGATGATCCACTTCCAGAATTACTGAATCAGCAATGGGAATCGTGGGTACATTCATTGAGCGAACTTGAAAATTTGCGTATATCTAGAAAGTACAATGGACCTTCATAGTGTTAAACGGGAGGTTCACATATTCTCAGACGCTTCTAAAGATGCAATCGCAGCTGTTGCATATATTAAATTGTATAGTGCAAATACTGTTTACATTAGCTTTCTTTTCGGGAAAGCCAAAGTTGCCCCGTCTCACGGACACACAATCCCCCGTCTGGAACTGTGTGCTGCAGTCTTAGCAGCAGAGCTTTCCGACATTATTCGAGATCAATTAGATATCAACCCAGATGATTTTTATTATTATACAGACAGTCGTGTAGTACTTGGATATCTGACAAACGAAACAAGACGCTTCTACATATATGTTGGTAACAGAGTCAGTCGAATTCGTTCTTCATGTCAACCTAATCAGTGGTCTCATGTGTCTACCAATGAAAACCCAGCTGATTTGGCTACTAGGTCTATCAGCACGATAGATCTTCCAGAGAGCCTTTGGATAAAGGGCCCCGACATGCTCTTGACTAACAACAAACAGGATGAACACAATCACTTACTAGTAGATCCAGAAAATGACAAAGAAATTCGTCCATCAGTTAGCTGTAAGAAAACAGAACTCCAAATCGAATGCAATGAAACTTCATTAGGATGTAGTAGATTCGACAGGTTTTCTCAATGGACACGTCTCGTTAGAAGCATTGCCTTTATAAAATCGGTAATTCGTAAGAAACTGCACCAAGACGGAGTTATTTCGCCCGATCTGCTAAGAGACTCTGAAAACTTAATACTACGTTCAGTTCAGCAGGATGCCTTTTCCGACGAGATTAAGTTGCTTCAAGAAGGTAAAAGCTTAACATCAAAAAGCCAGTTGGCTCAGCTGTCTCCTATACTAGGTTCAGATGGACTCGTACGAGTAGGAGGAAGGCTCAAACACGCTCCTGTAAATGATTCATTAGACCTGTCGCACCATCCTGTGATCCTTCCAAAGAACCACCATGTTTCGTCACTTATTATTCATCATTTTCATGAAAGTATACACCATCAAGGCCGACAGTTGACGGAAGGGGCCATCCGTGCCGGAGGCTATTGGATTATTAGTGCAAAACGTTCTATTTCAACTCTCATCAACAAGTGCATAATTTGTAAGAAGCTCAGAGGAAAACTTGAATGGCAACAAATGTCCGATCTCCCAACAGATCGACTTAGCCCATGTCCACCATTCTCTTATGTCGGCGTGGACACATTCGGTCCATGGTCCGTCGTATTTCGTAAAACTAGAGGAGGCTCAGCCAACCAGAAACGTTGGGCGTTACTGTTTACATGCATGACCACACGCGCTGTGCATATCGAAGTGATAGAAGACATGTCAACCTCGTCTTTCATCAACGCTATGAGACGCGTAATTGCAGTTAGAGGTCCTATCATACAATTTCGTTCTGATCGAGGAACTAATTTCATTGGAGCAACATCAGAGCTCAATATTGACCCTGAATTTGTCGAAAAAGGACCAATCAAGGAATTCTTACTGAAATCCGGAACTACCTGGAAATTCAATCCACCATATGCACATCATATGGGCGGCTCATGGGAGAGACTTATCGGTGTTTCTCGTCGGATACTCGACGGCTTGTTATTGGAAAACAAAAGTAGGACAATTACACACGAAGTGCTTGTTACTCTCATGGCTGAAGTTATGGCCATCATAAACAATAGACCGTTACTACCAGTTTCGACTGATCCAGAGTGTCCCAGTATTTTGAGTCCGTCGTCACTTCTTACGATGAAAACTTCACCAGACGTGAATCCGTTTCCTTTATTCGGTCCAAAGGATATGTTGAAAGCTCAATGGAAATGCGCACAAGGATTAGCAGAAGAGTTTTGGCGTAGATGGAAATCCGAATATCTTCATGAACTTCAGATTCGTACAAAGTGGCAAACTGACCGTCGTAATCTACAAGTTGGTGACTTAATTCTCATGAAAGATCAGGATGCGCCACGTAATTCATGGCCCGTAGGACTTGTGGACAGGGTATTTCCAAGCTCGGATGGCAAAATTCGTAAAGTGGAAGTCGCCATAGTCAAAGACGGAAAGCGCACAACTTATTCCAGACCAATTACCGAATTGGTTACTCTCCTTGAAGCTGACTGACTATAATAGTGACATTGTGTTTTATTCAATCACATTTAATACACGAACAATTAGTATAACATTGTTAGGGAAACACATGTTAATTTGTCATATGACATTATCTTTTAATTTTGAAAATGTAGTGATTTCATAAAGAAATCAGAGGAGGAGTGTACTGTTTTGACTAAGTGCCGAATTGACCATGTCGTCCCTTTCTTATCATTTCATTCCCCAGTCTCATCAATCCCTCGATTATTGTCAAAACTGAAACACGTTGTTTTTCTACTTGGAAGTTTTATCCACCACTAGAGTAAGTTAACCTTTTATATTTGTGCTCATTTTTTATATCGTTGTGCATATTGTTTAATTATACATTTTATGCAACTTTATATTTGATTATTGGTGTTCATTTACACACGACATGAGTAAATATTGCCGCTGTGAATATACAGTACTGTTTGTATTTTTTATGTATGCATTTCTCCCTTAAATTCCATTCATTATTTGTCAATCCCACATGTTAGGATTTATTTTTGTGTTTTATTGATGTAGACAAGGGTCACGCTCGAATTTTCTAGAAATACAGTCCCGCACAGTCTCAACGTGTGTAAAATTTATATCGTGCGTGGTATGAAGAGTACAGTCAATGAAAAATGCAACCTTTCAATTTTCTTGCATATTTAGATACGTGTGTGCAATCTTTTTCTGATATATTTATGTTGTACTTCGAAGTGTAGTGTACAAGAGTTACTTGTATTGAACTGTATAACCATTTTCTTTGTGAATGTACTACTATTTGACATTTATTGTATAAGTGTTGCCTTAATATTATGCTTATGATTGTTACTTTGTACTTTCAGTTTTTCACCCTCTCCGGGGGTCTGTATACCAATAAACTGTTGATCTCTCAACGACTTATCAGTACAGTGCATTAACTACAACAAAATCTTGGTAAAGCAATTTCTGTGAGTTGGAAAAAAAAATCACCGGCTGAGCCAAACTGAATGAGTTTTTTCGCCATTTTAAAGTGTCTGACTGCCTTCACTAGTCTAGTTAGCATTGTGAAGTTTATTCTTTGTTTTTTCCAGTGAAAGATTTTAACAAACTTTTAGTAAAAATATTGTTTTAGCATGTTGAATCCCTTACCGGTTTGGGGACTCCGTTCGTTAGGCGGTCTGTCCATCAGTTGTCTGCATTTTTATCTGTTTATTAGATTATCTATATATGGTAATATTATAAAAATAATTACAGCTGTAGATTCAGTTTCATTCCGGTTGCGCAATTATTGCAGAAATTAAGGCCCCTAAATATAGAAAATTGCTTGAAAATATCAGTGCTAGCCGTTTTCAACACATTTAGAAAACATCTTAAACATTTTGAAAGAAACATAAACTCTGGTATTCCAACTATGTTGATTCGAGAGCCACATATGAGTCTTGTGTTAATTGGAACGCGCGTCTTGCGTCTTTACATTAACAAATTGGTCCTCTTTGATACTTTTTGTATTAATAATTAAGCCCAGCAAGCATTTGCATTGCAATTACATTGCGTTTAAAAGTTAATTTCTAGCTATTGTTAGGCGTCATTTAGTTATGAATAAAGTTTGATTTGAAGCATATGTCGTTGAAAAAGCGAACTAGTTAAACAACAAATAAAAGCAATAAAACAAACAAATAGCAACAACAAAAATAAGCAAACAAACGTGAAAAGATTTTACCATACGATTTCAACAGTAGAAAGCTGTCAAGACAATACGCACAGCTCTTTACTGCTCTGAGTCTTGTGAATGTTGCATAGATTTAATAGAAGATCTAAGGTCTGCTATCAACAAATTATAGAAAAGTCAGATTATTAAACTAAAAGTCATTCGATATACTTAAGACTACTGCTGACTAGGTTGCTAACTTAAGAAAGTAATCATGAAAACTAGTATATCCTATGACTTGTCATTTATACCATAGATGCATATTTAATCTTAGATTCGTCTAATGCTTTATACTGAGATGTTAAACAAGGTAACTGAGGTTTGTTTTGTCCTCTAATGTTTCTTGTGGCAATGTTGAACATGTTGCCATCATACTGAACATGTGTAATTGTGGTTATATTATTAATTAATGTGCATTTTCTCTCTTAACAACTCATAAAAGCATAGCCTGCTCTGTTAGCTGTGGCGGATTTAGGGGGGCGGGCAGTAGGGAACCCGCCCCCTTATGGAGCTACATATATGATTAATTCATTTATTACATGTCCTACTCCAAATGTTGCCTCGTTTGCCCCATCTCTCCTTTCAAATTCCTGGATACGCATCTGATTAACGAATGTTTCTATACATGACATGAACATGAACAGGAAAGATGTATAATTAGTAAAGTTGTTTTAATTGGATGATTGCTGAATATATACACCCATTTAAAGATCAACTTAACGACATATATACTAGCTTCTTTGCTTTAATTGTGTATTTCAGAGGAGTTAACGTTGAAAGGTATGTTAAAAAAATTATGATAAATTATACTTAGTTGTAATAACTATTCAAATAAATATAATTTTAAGTGAAAGATAGCATTAAACATTTTCATTCTGCGTATTGTTTACTGCTGTGTATCTGCGTAACTTACATTTTTCCCCAATTTATGTTACAACTAATTTTACAGGTCCTTCTAACTGTGTTCTTGTCCATCGTTCTTTAATGAAGGTTGTATTATGTGTAACCACATCCCATCTTCCTAATATTTTTGTTTCATCTCGAAGAAAGTCAAAGTGAAAGATTGTTGCGTTTATTCCGGCGTCGTTGGCGTCGCAACGGCGTCAACAATATGTTAAAGTTTGTGTTTAGGTAAATTTAACGAAAACCAACATGACTAAAGGTAAGTCTATTTGGAATGAAGTTGTATTAGCATTAGAACATTGCATTTTCATGGCGATTATTTGGACCGCATCTCAGTCATGGTCAATTGACTAAAACGTGTTTGCTTAGTTTAAATGATAACGTCTGTGGTAAGGTAGGTTTAAAATGAACCATTAATGGTAAGTCAATGCTGTTAGATATGCAGTTGTATTAACTTGACTCATCTCATATATAAATGGATTTTCTGGCACCACTCCGCCAATCATGGTCTATTGAGTAAAACGTTTTTGCTTAGTTTAAATGATAACGTCTGTGGTAAGGTCGGTTTATGATGAACTCTTAATGGTAAGTCAATGATGTTAGATATAGATTGTATTAGAATTGACCCAGTTCATATATAAGTGAATTTTCTGGCACCACTCCGCCAGTCGTGGTCTATTTATTATTTAAATATTGCCATTTAATTTCAACATTTGCATTTTATTATGAAAATTACATACAGGCGAGACATCTCTGCATCAACAGAAAATGCTATTTTATATAAGCTAACACATGACTGACTTGTTTTAACATACATTTGTTTACTGTCTCAATAAACAAAGTTTTAATATTTAAGGGTATACAGATATTTGAAGTTTCTTGTGAGCAACAAACCCTTGGAAATGAAAATCTGCGCCATTCTTCTTGCAGTTGCCGCAAGTTTAGGGGTTGGTGAGTATTCTACAGTATATAAGTTATATTACTACGTTTCGAAAGAATATATTTTGTCTTCATATTTTGAGTGCGCCTCCACGACCAATAAAAAGTTTAACATGAAGACGTGTAGCCATAAACTTGAGGTGCGGAAGTAGTTTTGACTGCATTACCTTGTATCTTCCGGTTATATGGCCTTGATTAAGTTTTTAATGTATATTGTTCATTATGTTTTTATTTATGAGTTTATTTGTCCTTTACTAAGTAAAATCACATATCTTGTACTGTTTGGTATCGGAAATGAAGTGAGAAAGTTAAAAAAAGGCGAATTTTGTTATTTTAAATTACGTAATATTTATTTTAAATCTTGATTTTTTCTATGTTATACAAATTTCTACAGCTTAAAATATTCCACTGACAACAAAGATCATTATCTCTTCAACTGTTTGAAAAAAGTTTGGAACTCATTGAGAAAACTTTGACTTTGACCGCACAACCATTGGTTCTAAATTTTTATAAGTGAGGAAGAATAACAGTTTTAAGAATCAATTTCGTACTGTCAAATAATTATACGTTTTGAAGGATTTGCGGAGGATTGCCATGTAGCTCCTATATTCCGTCAGGACTGTGGATGGGTTGGAATTACTCCAGAGAAATGTGAATCACGGGGATGCTGTTACGATTCAAGTATTTCTGGAGGAGCTAAATGGTGCTTTAAAAAAGCAAAGAGTAAGTATGAGTATATATAGTGTCCTTTACAAACATATTCATATAAAATACAATGCCTTTTGTTTGTTCGTTTTGTTATTTGGTTATGTCATGGCGGCAGTTTTAATTTGTGGAAGAAGATTTGGAACGAGAAAACCACTCACCTGCGGAAGGAAAACTGGCCATACTCGTCAAATAAGATCTTTGTCGAACACAAATGGCCACGAGTGGGAATCGAACTCACACATTGTCAATGAACTTCTAAGACCCCGTTCACACACGCATTTTTTGAAACGATCTAAATAAAACCAGTTAGCGTTCACATTATCTTTATTCCTAACGATCCCTATCGGTTTAATCCGAACCATTGCGTTCTCACTACAAGTGAAAATGCAATCGATCTGACATAATTATCAGGGAAATTGTAAACACTGTACATAAATAGAAATATTTATATTTAATCAAATTAATGCCTTGATACACATGCTTGTAAACAAATAATGGATGAAGTAATTGTTTCGCTTGCATTACAAGTTCAAATGTTGATACTGTTGTTCGTACAGTTTTCGTTGATTTAAAGCCCTTTTATGTTGGTCATCCATTTTGTCAGAAATTGTAATTTTTCCGCCATATATGCGCACAAATTATTTTCGATTCAATCGTACTAGTTTAGATCGATCTCTGCTTCACTTAAGATCGTTTCAAACTAAACTACCACTTTTGATGTTTTAGTTTAGATCGACCCAAAGCGTTCACATTGTGCTTAAATCGATCAAAAGTGAACCGATCTAATTTGAATCGATATAAATTTCCAAGTGTGAACGGGGTCTTAGATTATTCGGCGACTAACTAATACTACTAAAAGTTCAATTAAATAGTTTCACTGTAATGTTTCATCCGGTATAGATTGTTAAATGTGTTAATTTTTACCATAAAATGGTTTTTAATTTATTTTTACATTTATTCATTTATTTTTTTATGCAGGTGAATGTGATGTTTTGCCAAAATACCGTAAAGAATGTGGATATTCCAATATAACAAAAGAAATTTGCGAGGGAAGGGAATGTTGTTTCAACTCAAACGCACGTGGTAAAAATGTGAAATGGTGTTTCCAGAAATCAGACGGAGAAGGTAAGTATTTGTTTGAATTAATATAAACTTATATACACGAATCCTTAGTATTACATAAATATATCAAAAGCAAAATGACAGTCGACATTTTATATACAAAACACTACATGCGATGGCTTATTCCTTATTCCTATTGTCTGATATCATGTAATAAAATTGACAATGGAAACGGGGAATGCGTCAAAGCGACAACAACGCGACAAAAGAGCAGAAAACAACCCAAGACCACCAATGGGTCTTCAACACACCGATCAAATCCCGCATCCGTTGGTGGGCTTCAGCTGGCCCCTAAATAATAATGTATACTAGTTAAGCGAAATTTTCATTAGGGAAAATATAATACCAACAATTTTACACTCAAAAACTGTTTTGGTTTATACTTCATTTAAATTGAAAGCTGATTTATACAAGTACTTCATTTAACATGTTTAAAGAGAAAGCTTGTTTATACTGTTATTACTTCATATAAAAATGAAGCAATTAAACCAATCAATTTTGATTATTTTGGAGAAGGCATCTCTTTTGAAGTTTTACTGACTCCTTCATGATTTGACGTTTATAAAATATCTGTATCATAGATGACAAGAATAGTTGTCACGTGTCACAGCCACAATCCTGTTCTCTTACTTCATTTGTGACATCAACAAATGTGGCATTTTAGAGTTGTCTGTATCTTGGTTGTCGTACATAATATCATAAATTCAGATAGTGAATTCTTAATTCAGTTAGAGTCAATTTATTTTCCAGTTCGTAATTCAACTAATGGTCTTTTTTGCCATGTAATTGTTAGTTTCCCTTCAACCCATGAGTTTTGAATAATACCTAGGTATTTCCGTCTCGTGTTGTAGATAAAATGTATGGTGTTCAAATATTTTTTACACGTTTGTCTCAATGATATAACATGAAAAGTTCTTCCAAATATCGTTGTGTTAATTATATAATATGTTTTTTCGTTCAAGTACACAATCTTTTTGTTTGCTAGTACCTTTCAGTACTGACATTTTCTTTTTGTTTGCTAGTACCTTTCAGTACGGAATTTTCTATATTTGATGAGAATATCCATTGAAATGCAGAACAGACACGTATCGAATTAAATTGCATCGGCTGTAAAATACTTTTGTCATTGTTTAAAAATGTTATGTATATATATACATACATGTATTTCTGTTTAAATTATATCTCAATAAGTGTTTATCAACTTCTATATTTTGACTAAGAGAGTGAAACAATTACAGACATCAATTGCTTTACCACTTTCAATAGAGCTGTTGAGTACAATTGAGTACATGAAATGATCTGAAATGATATCTTTGACAGAGGTATTAGGCGAATGCCATGTAGCTCCTATATACAGAGAGGAATGTGGATGGATCGGGATATCAGAAACTGAATGTGTAAACAAGAGTTGCTGCTATGATTCAAGTATACAAGAGCCGGATGTCAAGTGGTGCTTCAAAACGGCAATACGTAAGAAAATTAACATGTAATTTGGCTTCGTAACAATATGTATTCTTCAGTATTGAAGCCTTGTTGACCCAAAGAAGAAGAAAAAGAAGTATAAAATGTGCATGCCATAAAACTATATTATTCAATAGTCTCATTCCACTTTTAAAACTTTTTAAGATTTCTTCGCAAATGGAAATATCAAATTCAGACATAACCTAAGGTAGGAACAATTGTACTCCCATATTAAAACAAGTAAAACTAGCGTGCTGTATTGCACAGGTGCATTCACGGAAGTAAACTAATCAAAACATGATATTTCCTTATGATTTGTAATAGTAGGGATACAAACCGTCTGTCATTGTGTTGTTTCACTTTGTAAAAAGTATAAGATTTTTTGTCAATAATCTAAATTAAGAAAAATCTCATTTTGCACAAAATTTGGTCTTTATGCCTGCAGAAACGTTGGTTCCAAATTTTTCACTCATTTCAGCCATTTATAATGATGTGAGGCGTGTTTTCTTGTTGCTTTTATGTATCAACTAACTAAATTGAAAAATATATCTTTTGTAAGTTTTGTTAAAGTCGATGCGTGTGTGATTTCAATATTACTTTAATATTAAAGCTAATTTATTCGGTATATTCCTTAACAATATTGTAAATAAATGTTATTTAATTAGTTTTTCCTACTTCTAGTTAACCATTCCAGACTCTCACGTGTTACCCTTAAAATGAAGTGCAGTTTGATTACAAAGGCAGTCTTATCAACATTATACATTTTTAGGTGAATGTGAAGTCCTTCCAAACTACAGAATGGAGTGTGGATGGGAAGGTATTACAAAAGAGGCTTGTGAGACCAAAGGATGTTGTTGGAACTCAAATACATCCGGAGGAGCAAAATGGTGCTTCAAAAAGAAAAGCACATAATCCAGTTTATTTCAACGAATTAAAAGTCTTCTATGTTAATTAAAGTGAATATATGACAATTTTGTTTTGTTGAATGTTTTTACAAGAGTTGATTGACGCATACTTTCAGTCAGGAACATGATTGGATATATATTTGGACACAAAAACAAGTGATTAGAAGCTTGTGTCTAATTGTAATATATCACATCACTATGCATTTATAAACTGACAGAATATGTTTATGTTCAAAGATTTTGTTGTCGATAGAGTGAAAATGTTATATTTTTTTGTATCATTAACAAAACCTTTAATTATCTTTCGCCAATTGCTCCATGATATCTGTCATCCTAATGATCTATGTAACATCTTTCCAAGTTATTAATATCCTATTTATCAATAGAAAAATGACCAAAGGTGCTTTGAACCTACCATCAAAAGGTTCAGCGTGAAAAAGATGTGGATGATATATTAAAACCTGTTAAAACCCATAATTGTTCTTTATTCCCTTAAGAAATTGAGAACGAAATGGCGAATGTGTCAAAGAGACAATAACCTGACATAAGAGCAGAAAACAGCCACAGGCCACCAATATGTCATCAACAAAGTAAGAAAATACGGCACCCGGAGGCGGGCTTCAGCTGGCCCTTTACACCAATACATAAATTATTGCAATTTCATGCTTACACAACTAACACTTGGTTTGATGTGCTCAGATGTTTTTTTTTTAAATTAAATTGATGGAATAGTTTTGTATTTTAATAAGACACAAATAGACTCTTAGAGTTTAAGTCTCATTTGAAGTGTATATCCATTTATGCATGCATCGTAGATCCTCATTATGGATTATCATTTTTTGGGGGAAATTCTTTGGAAATATCAGACGGAGTGAACGCGTCTACTTGCTAAAAGGGGATTATAACATCATGAGCATATTTCAATTTCGTTATATTCTATCTAAGGGACGATATTAACAAGTTTCGATGTTTCTCATTCGTAATGACATCGAAAGATTTATTTCTGGATTAAGCTTTATCATGAATGCCCAAACCTTAACATTTTGATTTTGTATTCTAAACAATTAAAGAATGATTTTCAACCTTATATTTACAAAAAAATACATCAATTAGTCGAAATAAATATTAGTAGTTTAATCATGTCAATAGAGATTCATGATTACTATGTAAACTATTTATATACATTTTGACTTATTATTGTATTTTGTAAATCTTAGGTCAATATCGGTACAGGGGCCTCGGTGCCCAGTGGTCTAAGTCATTAAAGTTCTGTTTCACTAGGCTGTCAACACTGAGTTTGTGAGTTTGAATGCCGCATCTAGCAGGTGCACTCGTCTAAAATCGGAAATTAATAACTGAAGGTAGTTCGTTCACTTTAAGCACTCCGGCTTTCTAACCCAATACAAACTTACCGCTACAAAATAACAGAACAGTGTTAAAACTGGCGTTAAACAACAATCAATCAATATCGATACTGACAACTAGCTATGCTGTGTACCATCCACCAATGTCAATTTACGAATCGCAACCAAGATATGTTTAACTTATAAAGTCTAATTATTGTAAAGAACTATATAGTTGATATATACATGTTGTATGATATAAAGGACATTGAGATCTAATGAAATATTAATTAAAAGAAACAGAAATAAAGTAATTTTCTGAGTTGGTGGAAAACAAGTACGGTGTCCTTTAAATTTGAACTTGATTAGACGGAAACTGCATTCATCTAATTAGATTTGACCTCTTTTGCAAAAAAGACAGTTAATATATATCAATATTTTATAGTGTGTCTTTCTATGTTGTGATGTTACACTATTGTTTCAGAAAAGGGGCGAAGGTTTGGTACCATTAAAACGTTTAAACCCGCTGCAATTGTTTGCACCTGTCCTAAGTCAGGAATCTGATGTTCAGTAGTTGTCGTTGATGTGGTTTATAAGTGTTTCTCGTTTCTCGTTTTTTATATAGATTAGACCGTTGGTTTTCCCGTTTGAATGGTTTTACATTAGTAATTTTTGGGGCCCTTTATAGCTTGCAGTTCGGTGTGAGCCAAGGCTCCGTGTTGAAGACCGTACTTTGACCTATAATGCTTTACTTTTATAAATTTTGACTTGGATGGAGTCTTGTCTCATTGGCACTCATACCACATCTTCTTATATCTAATAACATTTTTAAATGGCGTAAGAGAAAGCTGTGTTCAATGTGGGCATTGATATAAAGTTGCAATAATCATTGCTAACCTTACATCAGAAATGTCAGAATAATATATCTTAAACTGTTTTGACTTGTTTCCTCACGGGCGAGTACAGGTAGCAACGAATCAATACCTTAACTACTGTAACAGTCATTTCAGATCACACGGTTATGCGTTTTTAACGGTTTATGAAGTATTTACACCAAATCCGTTGGTTTTCCACTGATTGACACCTTAGTATAGGAGAACATGATTTATTTATTAGTTGTGATTGGTTTTGAACTAGCTTTAAGTAACTGCGAGTATCTTTATATCGGTGCTTTGTGTCCATTGCTCCGATGTTAATTGTTTTCGTGCATCGTTTGAGTTGAGCTAATTGCAACTGATTTTTACAGTTTGTTTTTATGCTTTGTTGTTATACCACTGTCCTTATAAGTGAGTAAAGGGATTAGCGCTCACAAACATGTTTAATCCGCCATATTCTGTATGTGCCTGTACCAACTCAAAATCATAAATTAAAGAAAAACAGACAACGCGATTGCAATTAAAAGAAACACAATGCTATTGATGCATTTTCCATCATGGCATAGATTGTATTCACTTCTTCTGTGTATTATCCCCAGAAGAAGTAGGAGTACACCCTAATGTACAAGAAAGATAACGAAACTAATATTTTTCCTAATATTGAATAAAACTACTCAAGATATTTCTTCAAACTTCTGACTTTAAGACATAGGTTTTGGAGGTCTTTTTGGAGGCGCGACACATCCTCTTAGAATTAATTACATCGCTTTCGCACCTTTGATTTTTAATCTGTATTGAACCTGCATACTCAATCGGATAGATGAGTTCAAAGCAGTCATTAAACACTTCACATAAGGCGAAAGACTTAATAGCATTACAAACTCCACATAAAATTGGAATACAACAGAAGACGTACATATTTTGACTCTGATCTACTTAAGACAAGTCGTCGATTTCCCCAAGACAATCAAAATAACGGCGATAAATCAGAACAGGATCGTTGTAACTACAATTAGAAAAACATCCGTGGTAATATACGGCACAGATATTTCATAACGGTCAACTAAATCATGATGGCTTCGTGAACTTATAAAGAGAAGGCTTTAACTTTACATTTTTATGAAAACATTATTCAAAGTCTTCATTGTAAGTAACAACTCTCTGTCAAGGACAAAACAAACGAAAAAGCACGCTTTGAAATATCGTATCAGCTGGGAAATATATAATCTATATATCCAGATACAGGATTTCCTGGAATATTGCTAAATAGAAACAAATTGAAAGTCAAGAAATAGAGCATGTTAATGTATCTATAACTAAGTGAGAGAACACGTATGTCCTGTACCAAGTCAGGAAAATGGCCATTGTTATATTATAGTTCGTTTCTGTGTGTGTTACATTTTAATGTTGTGTTTTTGTTGTGTCGTTGTTCACCTCTTATATTTGATGCGTTTCCTTCAGTTTTAGTTTGTAACCCGGATTTGTTTTTATCTCTATCAATTTATGAGTTTCGAACACCTTTATATTTCTACATGTTACACGTGAAAAAGGACTTTTATTTTCTCAAACGTTGTTAATTCATTATTATTTTGCATGAGCATGATGTATATGTTGAGAACCCATCATCTATTATAATAGATTAATTAACAGTACATTATAGTATTATAATCATAATAAAATAACGGATGCCAATAGTAAAAAGAAACTGCTTACCCTTATGGCGTACCTTCGTTTACCTCTAGCTGTGGTGGGGATTATGCTGTTAAATCTTTATAGTATTCGGGTATATAAAAAACAATATACAAAAATATAGTATAAAAAGAAGATTTGGTATGATTACCAATGACATAACTCTTCACAAGAGACCATAGTACACAGAAATAAACCACTGTAGATTTATTTATAAGTCATTACAAAAAGCAAAGGTGAAAAATGCAGATGTAAACAAATAGTTACGGGATGCATAGAAATATAGATAGATAGATATTTATATTTTAAAATACAACTTGGTACAATACATGAAATACAATATATTACAATTTTAAACATATGTAGTCAATAAACATGTATATTTATACCAACCAGCCTTTAGGGGCTTATGATGCACTGTCATTTATGTACGAAAAATTATATATACTGCCTCACATAGAAATGCATAATCATAAGTACATGTTTGAACAATATCATCCAAAATATGCAAGAATTAACGCTTTATTTATACGCTATTTAATATTTCTAAGTAGAAAACTACGACATTAAACAAATAGTTACGTGATGCATAGAAATATACTGCCTTTCATAGATACATTGTATGCATAATCATAAGTACATGTATGGCAAAAAATTATCCATAAAAAGGTATTCAGGTCAATAAAACAAAAATATGCAAAACTATAAAGCTTTATTTATACGTTATTATATATTGCAAAGTTGAAAAATAAGGACATAAAAAAAAACCTACGTGATGCATGGAAATATACTGCCTTGAAACGAAATGCATAATCATAAGTACATGCATGGCAAACATTCATCCGTAATAAAAGGTAGACCAGTGTAAAATTGTTTGATAATTTTTCAATGTGTACATCAATTAATGTATAAATAATTTTATAGAATTTTAACGACTTCAGGTTTTGTGTGTCTAACATGCCTTAAACAAATACCGGCAACAGTAGTATACCGCTGTCCAATAGTCATAAATCGATTTACCTGAAACAAATCCGGGTCACAAACCAAAACCGAGGGAAACACATCAACTATAAGAAGAAAACAACGAAACAAAACAAACACTGAACTGCCACAAAAACAAACGCCAACATACATAGAAGAGGACTATGAAACCGTTCGT